CAATGCTTTTATTAAACTTTTTTTCTGATTTTTCTGAACTCTTAATGTAGTTTGAAAATTTGCTTGCTAAGATACAGCAGTTATCACTGTATTGGATCATACAGTTTCTGCATTATCAAGGGTTTTTTTTGATTGCAAAGCTTGGTCACCTAAGTGTTTGTGAAAGACTTTTAGGATAGCATAACAGTACTTCGACTGTTGAGCGACAATGCCGGAGAATTAGTAGCAGCAGATGTAGTGGCATGTCTTTGGCGATCTCGTGACAACACAAAGGAGGATGACCAAAGTAAGTCCAAAAAATTTTTATTTGTCTTGGGTTAGACATAATAAACTTTAAGCATTAAAACTCAAGAAAGAAGAGTAAAAAAGGGAAGATAAAAAACAAGTTTCAGCATGTTTTTTTTTGCTAACATCGACTATTGACCGGATTTACTGCTGTAACAAAATCGAAAAATTTGCAGTATCGTATGACTTTTATATCACAAAAGATAGTTTAAAAATAGCAAGTCTAATAAATTATAGAATAAAATATAGCAAATTAATGTGGGTAATTTTGTATGAATGTTTAGAATTTAAAGAGTATTTTTGTAACAACTAATTAAAGTATACGCATTTTATTGTGTTATCTATATAAGTTTAGGCATAAAGTTCTGACTCGAGTGAAGATTTTGCAAGAATGCATAATGCTTTCTTCAGTGTTGCCGAAGGATTTGATGCTTTTAGACCACCGCATACAGCGTTGAATAACGTATGTGAAACGAAGTCAGCCGGTGGTTTCAGACCAATAATATTGAATAAATCTGTGTTATGTACGGAAGACACTTTAAATTAATTTTTTTGATTTGGCTACATGAAAATAAACAAAGAAATAATTCTGGATTTACCTCTTTTTGTGTACATATTTTCCGATCACTCATAATAAATGCATTTTTTGGCTTTTCAAGTGTTGAGACTTTTCCATTGTTATAGTAAAAGAAAGCCTCTTCAAAAATACTAATGTTTTATATTTTTATTTTTAAAATGGAAACTTGAAAAATAAGGAATCAGGTAATTAAATTTCAAATATGCCTTAGGCTTGAGCGGCATAAGACTTTACTCAACCTAAAAGATAAGATTTAACTGGTAAAACAGCAACAGCAAAAACTAGGTTTGAAACAGAACAGACTCATTTTTAGAAAAAACTGTTGAACGAGCTCTTCAAGGTAGGGTGCCGGTTCTATTGTACGGTTTTAACAAATTAAACAAGATTCAAGCTTTATTGTTTTTTTGATAAACATTTGAAAAAAAACGTTTGACTTTGTTCCCGTTAGAGTTTTAATAGAGGTGAATTTGCGCTTAAAAGATTTCTTAAACATAATTTATTCTACAGGTATTATGTTAAATGATTTTATTTGGAAGTCTCACAGGAATAGTTTTTTTAGAAAAAGTGCAGGTTTATGAAATATTAAATTGCGTGAATTCGCAGATGCTCGATTTAGCCAAACTTGTTGAATTTAAAAAAGAAAGTGAAAAAACTAACACAGAAAGAATGTGATTAAGAAGAAATTAGGAAAAAAAATTTATTTTTTAGTTTTTGTGAATTGTAGAAAAAGACTAATAGACTGTTGTCTTTTTAAATTGTAACTGTTACAAAAAAACTACGCATTAGAATACGTTTCCTACTTTTTTGCAAAAAACTCTCAAAAACAATAAAAAACCTTTTATTGATTTTGATTGTGGCAGAAATGTTGAATATAGAGTCTCATGTTGTTCGGCTTTGTATGACAAAGTTTTAAAAGAACTGGGAACGAGTAAACCAAAAATTTCTTTGTTTATGTTGGAGTTATGACTAACAGCCTCTTCAAGTAAAAAGTAAGTTTAGCGAACAAAAAAAGAACAAGAACAAATTCAGAAGTACTGTCTGAACTGCGAACACGCAGCTGTGCTTTACACTTCTGAAACGATTTTGCCTTCCTAATGTTCTTCTAACTTTTCTGTATTGAAAAATACCATCAAAGATTATTTATTCTTTCCCTCATATTACAATGCTGAGGAGAATAACTGACAATCGGCAGTGACCAAAAAACGCCTTTTGAGAAACAAAATTAAAATCTTTACGGTAAAAAACTGCTTATCTTGAAAAAACATAAAAAATTAATAGTCTTCTTCAAAACATCAAATTCAATCTTGACTAAAATATATTCAGCTAAAAAATAAGATTAAGAAAACTAATTTTGTCCAACTTTTATGACGTATCAACAGTTTTAAAAACAACACGAAAGCATATTCTTTTACGCTTACAACCTCTTAGAAAATTGTACAATCAGTGTGTAATCTTCAAAAAAAAAAAAAAAAAAAAAAAAAAAACGTCTGCCATTTTGTTGATAGTTTTTTAAAACATTATTTGTGTTTTTTCTTTATTTTAATAATTTGGGCAATGCTAACTGAAACGTAATGTCAGACTATTTTGCTAGCGAACCTGTACCAAAACTGGAATTTAGCTTAAATCAAAAGTGAATTTCTGTTCATAGCGAAAACAAAAGCGGCTTTACAGAAGAACAATCTTTTTGTTTTTTTCGTTAGCATTTCGATTACTTTTGTTGAGGCCCTTTTCAAAAAGATGACGAGTGATGAAGTAAGAGATCAAGCTATTAGCATTGGCTTTTGTGATTGAATCTTAATAAGCAAGTGGCTGCTTCATTTAAAATATTGCGACAAAAAGTTCTGCTTTCTGATTAAACTGTTTTTGATTAGAATCAGAGCTAACTCTGAACTGCATACCACTGACTTCAGCCTATGAGTAAGAACCAGTTACGTGATTCTTAAATCACATTTTGAGAATGAAGAGGTTAAAATAAAGACAAAAGTACTGATGAGATATTTTTTTTTATTTGGCCTCCACTCAGCAATAGTGTGTCCCTAAAAGTATGAAGTGCTTTGAAGTGCTCAAAAATATTTTGGGTCTACCAAAGCGCGTCCGCTAGTTCCAGCTAAATAGGCTGTTAAAGCTCCTGTTACTTTTTTTTTTGTAAAAGGTCTTTTGGATTATCACAGAAGCTGCAGCCTCCAAAAACTATTTTCTATGTCATTTTCTATCAAGCCGTTTGTCTTGTAGCTTCAACGCTAGTTCGGAAAATAGTTGCAGCGTGGAGAAGTATAATGGATTCTTCATAGCATAGTTCTCATTGAAATCTGGAATCCAGTAAAAAAATGAAAAAAAAAACAAAAACTACAACATAATCTCAAAAAAGCACGAAAATCACGAAGTCCCAAGTATAATGTGGGAAACAGAATGAGATATGAACAAAAAGTGTATTTTCACAACTGAAAATCGTGAAAAGTATTCGAAAAACAATAAAGGAAGTTTAAACAATTGTTGGAAAATTCCTTCTAGCGTCTGACCATATTTCCGCAATGTCCAAAATTAAATTTATAAAATCTTTTCATAGTATCACGACACGTGAACTTTTTATTTTCTTACCTTCACCTTAATTCTTATTTCATCTGCGGTACTTCCAGCCTCCTTAAAACTGTTCGATGCAGGTAGACAGTGGCCCGTAGCCGCTTGTCTCAAAGCATATAAAATTTAAGTGTTTCTAAAACTAGAGGACATTTTTGATGCACACTTTCTTCATTGCGCTGATGTTCCTGTATGTTTCTGTAGCCTTGACAAAGAGGAAGGGATGGCGGCAGGGGAGAAAAGAACAGATAGTGGTAATAGAATAATTCAGTTTTTTAACACTAGATGCCGTCTGCATTTCACGGCGTCTACTAAGCTGAAAGATTTCAGCGTGCAGCAGCCTTCTGCCGCGGTCATTAATCTCATTGTGCAGAATTTTTTTTCATATTTAGTAGCCTTGCTTTTGAAGGTTCTTTAGCTCACAATGAGCCGTCAAACTAGAATTACTATTTATCGATGCACTCCTTTCTTCAGCTCTTTTCGAGAGATAATGAAATTGCTTACAGTTCGCTGGCTAAGACTACATCCAATTTGAAAGAAATAAAACTGGAAATAATAAAATTATTCCGTTGAAGGCTGTAGTATGTTTTCCCACGTAATAACACGAAGTACTCAACGATATACAGAAATGATAAACGATTATTATCTTACATGTTGTTCTAATGCAGTACCTATGGCCAGTAATTTAATGATATTAGAAGTCACCGCAAGTCCAAGTCGCACTTAAAAGAGAAACATAAAAACATCGTACCATCTTGAAACGAAAAATGTCAAATTCTAAGAATTCTAGAAAAAACGATACATCTTTTTGATCACAACTAACGCTTATGTAGTGCTTTTGGTACCGCAATAACAATTTTTATAGATGTAAATGCATGCAGTGAAGAGGCTGGGTGAGAAATATTGTAGTAAAAAACAGAAAAAAAATTCATAAATGAGTATAAAAATTGACTACATGTCTAAGAAAAAAGACACAAGTAAACTGAAAAACTGCAGGAAAAATTTTCTTTTAAAGTGATTTTTTTTTTCAAGTTTTAGGTAATTCCGGGCCTGACTTCCTGACCTAGTCGTCAATTCTTTTGATCTAACACATAATCTAGTGAGATGTCCTTTACGCCCTGTCGCCGCTGAGCCTACAACTTTTGCGTCTTATTTTGAGCGAACGGTTTCTCCGACTCCATCCTCAATACAACCCGGCACTGCATGACCGAGCCCGGCATCCTTCCCAATACCTGACATGAAGAGAACGAAACAGTCATCTCGCGCGTTTGTGGTGTAATAGTCAGCATGGTTGCCTTCTAAGCAATCGACGGGGGTTCGATACCCCCCAAACGCATGATTGTAGACAACTCGGTTCCTCTAATGCTTTAAGGTGGCTCCAATAATGACTTCCCGATCTACCCGATAATTCTTTTGATCTAACACATAATCTGGTCAGATCTTCTT